GAAATCAGCACAATTTGGTTTTGCATCAGTATAATTTCCATGTGCTTTTTGCACTGGTTTAACCAAATCAGTGTAAGGCTACAGATGTACTTAAGTTCCTTCAACTTTGCACATAAATAAAGCACTCTGATCCAGTTTTTTTTGACTTGACGGTTCCATTTTGCAACACCAACACCTGTTTCCCAGGCTTTTTGTCCAGTAGTTGTGTTAAAGTGATGCCTCATGATCTGTCCCAATGTCTTTTGACCTCAATGGAAAAGGTCCATCAACATTCCTGAGGTTTTTGGAAGAGGCCCAGGATGAACACCAGTCCCAGTGAACTTTACTGCAAGACTAGTCAAAGAGCAAATACCAAATAGAGAAGTAGCAGTCCTGTAAAATGCACAAACTACTTCCACAGCTGTGGGCTGGATGGGTCTATTTACCTCGAGGCCAGGAGTGGGTACAAATGGCCACCAGCAATTGCTGCCCACAGGTGCGGCCAGGCCTGCAGACCTCAGGCACAGCAGAAAGGCCGAGGGGAAAACTGGGAACCAGTCAGCAGTGCAGAGTTCTCCTTCACATTTCCACCTGCAATTAAATCTGTACCTATTGTGTTTTCATTAGCAATGAGGCTTAATAAGCTCTTTTTTGAAGAAATAAAGTGGCTGCGTTATTAATTGCATCTTGAGCATGTGCCACTGGGCACTGGACCTTTCTTAACTTTCTGGGTCTACAAACATTAACAGTACCATGAAAATCATGATATTCAGGAGCTAGATCTATTGTAAGCCTTGGAGAATACCCTTTATTCCTTTAACACACACATATTCCTCCTAATACTGGTCTAGCTAGTCTAGCAATTAGTAACATTTTAAGAACATTAAAGACTTTGCCATCATATCTTTGACGTCTTTAAAGCTACTTGCTCAACACATAGCTACTGGAAATGCTGGAGGGTGAGTTGGTCAAACAACTGCAGCAGGAGTTCTTTTCTCACATCTCCTGCGGCAGGAGGCAGGGAAGGTGCAGAAAATAATAGAGAACAGATTGTTAAGAAGTTTAGGGGCACTGGAAGAAGGCCTGCCCCATGCTGCTGTCAAGAGCCAGCTATCCTGACCAAGAGGGCCATCGCCATCCCACGTTTCACCGCTCCATCCTCCAGCCACTCAGTTAAAAGACCTTACCACAGCAAACTATACTGGGTACTTCCACTGGCAATTAACTGGAACTGAGTTCATTAGGTAAAACAAGAGGTGAACAGGCACGTGAATGTCATTGCAGCCTTCGATATGGAAAGTAATAGCAGTCTATAATCCATCCGAGCACTGGGTGGGGTAGAGGCTCACATATTATAGCAGTCACCAAGGTGTAAAAATACAATAATAAAGTTCTGCAACTGTCCTATTAACATACCAGATTTGATTTGGCTCCATTATATTTCATCAAATAGTTTACAAAGCACCCAGCATAAACCATCATCATAATTGTAATCATATATTTGGTGATTTAACGTGTACACCATAATGTACCATTAGTTACACAAATAACTAATAATTTGCTAATGACAATATTATGTTAAGTCAGTTTAGGGGCAATTAAAGTGAGTGATATTTACATATGCCTAATGAATCACAGTCGATGGCAGATTAAGAGATTCTAATGAATATTCATCCAGACATTCACAACCAGCTTCACAGTTTATAAACTGAATTATGGTTGATTTGCCCTTTTAAAAATGAATATGTGAGTATCTTCTGCATGGGAAGAATGAACAATTGGGGTTGATTGTAAAATTTTTTTAAAGCAATGTACTGGTCAGGACACAAAACATTTTTATGCACTCTCATACCCTTGGCTTCTCAGATCTTTTTATATCACATATCAGCATTGATGAACTATCTCCATTTTCATTCCTATCCATGACATGAAATATAGAAATTGTTTTGTGTTGAATTAAATGCAATAGAAGTTTTATGCAGCCTCACTAAGGATATAATTACACAGGTATCCTGCTTTCCCTAACCAGAGCAGGCAAACTCTCGCCACTATGGATTAGCAACATTCTGCTTATAAAGAGGGCCTTTATGCACACTCACTTGAGTCAATGAACAAATTATCGCTCGTTCAAAAGGAAGCTGTGTAAAGCTTTTCTAGGATGAAATCAGAGTTATTCTGTCACATCCTATACTGGAAGTTTCTCCTATGATTAATATCAACAATATCGATAGCAGCAATAATAATAGCTGAGAGCACAGGATACAGCTTCATGGTTTGGTGATCAGAGATCAGTGAGCCCAGAGAAATGTGAAGTGTTTAGAGTGCATACACAGGCTTTTCATTGGTAATCTCTGTAAGGAACTGGTATGACACTACAGTAGTCTCTCAGGGGTTAGTCCCCCTGCCCTTGCTTAAGCTGTACAGCCAGGCAGTATTGCCTCTAAATTCTGGGGGCAGTTTTGCATTGTTTGAAACACAGAAATTTAAAAAACTCTTCCTTGCTCTTCCACTGCTGAAGAACTGAAATCACTAAAAACCAGCACTGCTTGAGGTGGAGGATGGGAGGAGGGGGGAAGGGGGGAGAGGGGGTGATTTCTCTGAAATCAAACATTGGCACTTTTCACACCTCTTCTAGCAAGAGAAAATCCCCAGCGGGCTGAATCATTATTAAAACAAGCACCTCACTTTGCTTAATTTGGGGATTTTTGATAAATCAATCCAATCCTCAAAAGTGATTTGTTGAGTTCCACAGAGTAAATTTATTTGTATGTATGCTTTGTGCAGGCAGCTGCGAGCTGGAGCTCAACATCCTGATAGAGTTACAGAGCATTGTGTAACAGTGCAGGTCTAGCCTGAATCCTGAAAGCAGAAGTCATACTGGGTTTTGGTGACAGGGCACTGTAATTTCAACACAGAGTGTTGAATATGCGGCTGTAACAAATGAATTCACCATTCTGCTGCACCTTAACTGGATTAGGCCAAAAAGTCCATTTGAAAAAGACTGCTGCTTAATTTCCTTGTTTTCAAATCACTTCTTATTGAAAAAAAAAGTCTTTTTTTATAATTGGAAACAATAAAATAATAATTTTATGTTAGAAACATCATGCACATATTCATTTTTCATGGCAATTACATTTCAACAACTGGAACAAAACTCAGTTCAAGTCTTTAGTGCTTTTAAATAACAGAGATTCAGTTTTCTCAGTGATCTGTTTTCTTCTCATATGTATGTCCCTTTTTCAGTGTTTTCTAAGTGAGTGACCAGCTGCATGAGAGGAAGATTGTAAGGTCTGTACTGGCCATCAGAAGTATTTGAGTTTCTTACTAATTGTGCATTTGGATTTTTCCAAGGCTTTTCTTCTTCCCTAAGACAGATATTTCTGAGATGCTCCAATGAGAACTTCAGCTATGCTACTTTCAAAATCTTCAGCCTAAGAAGCTATTTACTAATTTTGTTTAAAGTTTATTGACTTTCTGTATCATAAGCCTTCCACTGTCCATAGAAAACAAGATTATTTAAAGCCAACAAGTTATTTAATCCCCTCCTTCACAGTTCAAACTCCTAAAAGGAATTAAGCCACTAATAACTTCAGAACTCTCAAAGCCAGAACTTAACTGCCATTGCACTCATTGAGATTATTTCTCTTACTTCATAATAATTTCAGCTTTGGTACATCTGCTTGCTTTACGTCTGTCAGTTTGCTTCCTCACAAGTACAGATATAATTTTTACCAGTCTTTCTACTGTCATCTGAAATACTTCAGAAATGTCTATCCCTTAGATTTAGCAACTTCAATTCTTATGTAATGCAGTAGCTTGGAGAAATCTCATGAATTACTTCGTCCATTGAAACACTGATTGTCTTCAAGCTTAAATAGGCTCTATGCCTGTTTTCAAAGAGAGGGCTTCTTCCTTCTTTGCTGTATATACTTGAAGTCACTAATCTTTCACTGCCTCAAAACCGTGGACCTTGCTCTACAACTGTTTCTCTCATGAGCATGGTCATTTGTTCCCATTTGAGAATTTAGTGGCTTCACTATGTATTTCTGAATTGAAAGTCTCTCTCAAATACAACAATCAAATTCAATACTTCTGTGATCCTTTCTTTGCTACTCATGGTGTGAACGAGTCTTATCTTGCCAGTCAAAACCCGTGTTAATATTTGTGAGAATATCATAAATATCGTGAGAATATCATGTATATGAGGTGAAATTTTACAGTTCATAATAGATACATAGATAATTTTACAGTACATAATAGATACAAATGCTAACAGCAATCATTAACATCAGCATCATCAGGGTTTCACCAATGAATCCCAAGCCCAATATTGCTGTTTCCTGTATTACTGAAGCATTTAAAAGGTGCAGCCACTTCTCAGAGCTACATTGCTTGTGGACACTTTCCTCAGCAGTTTTACTACTTCACCTCCCCCTCCACCTCACACACTCTCTCTCACTCATTTTTGTTTGGTTGGTTTTGTCTGTTTATTTGTTTTGTCTGATTGGTTTGTTTTTGTGGACCAGCTTCTTACACATTCAGTGGGCCAGAAAACTTCATGGTTTCATTCTAAAATGCAGACTGAATGATCATGAGTCAGAGTTAATAGAAGCAGAGAAGCCTAGTGAATGATCTCCACTGTACAGGCTGAGATAAGACCAAAAGCCAAAGACTTGTTTCACACATGCACACACACATACACACACACACAAACAAACAAAAAGCCCCAAAACAACTGTTTAGAAAAGAATCAGAATAACTTGTGCAAAGGAAGGCATCCGGGGTTTTCCCTGTCTTATCTTACCCAATGCTCTGCATTTAACTTCTCATTTGCAAAGTGGTTGCACAGAAGCACTTAGCAGTAATCACAGCAGTTTACCATAGCCAGTGATAGAATGGGATCAGAACAAAGGTTATAAACCAAACAAATGAAAGATAAAATTATCTGCCTGGTGAGTAATTTTCACTTGGGTTCGAGGTGAGTAAAGTTGACTTGATTTATTCTTATTAATATCACTTACCTTGAGCTTCCCTTGGGCTCCCAACCACGCCTCCTTCTTCATCCCACTCCCCAGAACCCAAGCTTGGGGTGTAATAATGATCACATATAATGAATGGGAACATATAAGAGCAACTGCTAATACTGCCCCTAAAAACTCTGGATATAGGGAGATGAGAGAAGTGAAAGAAGAAGTGCTCAGTGCTTGAAACCAGCAATGTCCTTCAACACATGTGGGGCTCTGAGCAACCACAAGAAGAAACTGGGAGAAGAGCTAGTTTGGCTTACCATCTGAGCCACAAATGAGCATTACTTCACCAGGTATAATCCTACAGTTCTCTCTGTCTGCTACAGCAAATGAGAAAACTGATAGGCATTTAATGAACCTCATCCTAACCTGTGTGGAATAATCTTCCAGCTAATCTTCTAACTGGTTTCCATCCATCTAGCAACAGCAGTGTTTAAATCTCTTGTTTGCACTTTACTAGCTGCAGATTGTAAATGTTTTATGAGCCGCTGAGCTTGCAGCATTACTATTTTATTAGAACGCTGAATATCTCGTGTTCATTGCTGTCTTACCAGCAAATTTTATCTAAACAAAAATTGCCTCCATACTTCTTGTGAATGACAATTTGGTAGTTTGATGGATGCTCTTGTTTCAGCTTGTTTTGCATCAACAGTTTGGAAATAGCCTCTCTACCTAGCTGGGATGCAACAGTGCACCTGTGCTAATGCAAATAAAACACATTCACATTATGAGTATATCTGATTTGGCTTCTGAAGAAGGGGCAGAGTCCTGTGAGTCTCTAGTCCTACCGTTAAGCACATGTGAGAGATTCTCCTGCCCCCACAATGAAGGAAATGTTTTCCTATGTTGAGCATGCGGTCCTCACAGTGCTTGCTCTTCCTCAAAAAGGCACAGCAGCGTTACCGAACAGATAAACCATACTCGTTCAGAGAGTAGCTGTAACTGGACCAGTGCAACATCAAACACCGACCCACGCAGATGGATGTAGGACCATTGTCTTGGTGCTCTGCTCATTTCTCACTAATCACACATGCCACTGGCAGGGACGTTCTAGGTGCACAACTTCTGAGAAGTGCCAGCAGCCCTGCAGCTGTACAAAGGAGCACTCTGGGATAGCCAAGCACTCTACAGAGGAGAAAGGGAGCCAGGAACAAGTTTCCTTACGGAAGGAATAAATGACAAATTAGCTTTCTCAGTTATCCCCCTACCCGTGGACTTTGCTATGGTGAAGGACGGTCAAAGATCAAATCTCTCATCTGGATCTGGACTTCATCAAGATGTGTCTTTCTCCATGTCTCATCTCTGCTCTGAATAGCTGCTGATATCCCTGACCAGCCTGTCTTCTTCTGCAATATGATGAAGGGAGCAGTTTAGACTACTTGCTAATTCATTTCCTTTGACATAAGCTCTAGGAATGACTGGTAAGAGATCCAAGATCTTCTTTCAGACCTGAAACAGGAGACTGGGACAAAAGAGCTTCCTCATCCTGGAAACGAAGTTCTACAAGGATGACGCAGCCAGGAGAGTGGTGTGGGCAGCACTGCACCCAACCTATGGTCAACACTCCACTCTCTTTCTACGGCAGCTGCAGCTGCCCTATCTACCACAGTTCCCACAGTTCAGCTACAACCCAACATTCCTACTTCTCCTCTTCCCCTTCCTACTGCATCCCTTTCTTACCATTTCATCCCCGGTCCTCTCCACACACCACATACCCTCACCTCCTGCTGCCCATGGGACCCAGCCGCACACCCCTGTCTGCTGCTAACCTATCTCCTGTGCTGCTCTGTCACAGAAACAGCTTCTTCCTGGAGGCGTATGAGATTGTAACAAACCCATTCAGAAGCAAAGTAAAACCAGTGCTCAGGATGGTTCTGGTTCCTTCGCATTCATGAAGTTCCCTATACAGCATTAGGAGAAAACTGATTTCATGTGGCAGCATCCAGTCTGGTTCCAAGCAGAAGTTATGCATGTAATCAGCTGGGAATATGCTGGATGGAGCAGTTCATCCAGACCCACAGCAAGCATCATCAGTACTGGCAACGTGTAGGTAGCAGCAATGCATTCTCTCCAGTAATAGATACTGCAAAGACCTGGTGATTGTGGGCGCACCGCAGAGAGGATCGGCCCTGACGTTCGGGTGTCAGATGCTGTTCGCTGAAGAGATACAGCAGCACCGTGCTGCTACCGCCATCCAGAGCTAACCGCAGCACACCCCGTGCAAGAACTGCTACTCTCCCAGCTCCTCCATTGCCTCAAACCCAAACCCCTGCGTTGCCAAACATCCGGGCCGGGGGTGGGAGGAGCGCACAGAGCCGCTCGCGCAGCGCCCCCTGCCGGCCGTACCGCGCCGCGGTCGCGGGTAGCGGAGGGGGGCCGGCTTGCCCCGCTGCTCTCCGAGGTGCACGGAGAGGCGGCATGCTTAGTGCAGTAACCGTGTCCGCTAAGATATCCACGTCCTGCCAAATAGAGGAATTGTATTAAACCAGAACGCCCCTTTCAGACTGCTCAGAAATGCCGCTCCATAAACGCTTTCTTCTCCTGCGGCGGGGGAAAACCATTTCCACCCTTCTGCAGACAGAGCCCTGCAAAGGAAAATAAACCAAGTGCTGACTTCAAGGAAATGCCTCCAGCTGCCGTTGTCTTTATTAAAAGAAGGGAATAAAGAAAAGAAACAAAACAAATAAAAGCCCTCCCAGCTCCAGGGAGAACCTTCAGCTTTTTAAACCACACACCCATTTGGCTCCCCAGAGAACTCTTTTCTAATTGCAAGCAATGCCCGCAGCTGAACCAGCCTCACTGCTTCTCCTCAGCTGGAGTTCATGTAAGTGCAGTAACACTGCCTCTGAGTGTTGCTGCAGTGTGGCTGAGGTTACAGAGCCCAGTGGATCACCTTTGTGGCCCTCCTCTGGATGAACCACTGAGCAGATCCCTTACTAACCTGTGTGTAGGACAGGCAATCCCATGCCATCTGAGCTCTTCAGTGTTCTCCAAGATCCCGGGAAAATTAAATCCTGAACAGGGCTGGGCACCAACAGGAGGCAGGTGTCTGCCAGGACAGGAGCTCAGTGCCTGTGGGCTGTTTATGGAGATGAGGTACAGAGGTCCATGCTGCAGGGAACTGACATAAACTTGTCTGAAAGCCCAGCTCACTGCAGATAGGCCCAGATTTCACGAGATGCATGCTGCACTTCTATTGATTGGTCCAAATGTTTTCCCACTTCTGCAACTAGGCACAATGCAATTGTGCTATTCAGATGCAGGTCTTCTTAGTGGTCTGTAGGTTTCCCTGACAATCATAGCAAGGTTGCTACAGTCAGCAGGAAATTCAGGCCAGGGAACCAGCCTAGAATTTTCCAGAACTGGAGAGTTCACAATCCTGCAAGGACTCAGGTTCAAACCAGTGCTGCAAGCAGGTGGGCAGGTATAAGGAAATTTCATGCAAGCATCATAGCAAAAGCTTCTCTGGTGATGCAGCTTATTCATTGCTCTTTGCTCCGATTACAGTTTCATGGTTCGAGTCATGCTGCATATTACACAGTGATAAGTGTTACAAAGACAAAAGATACAATTTTCCAGCCTTCCAGCTTCTGGCAACTTCCTTCATGCTTTTTCCTTGTATAATCTGATGTCTATGAATCACTCAGGGCTTCGCCAGTTCCTCCGAAGATAAATAAACTGAGGACACTGTGGTGTTTGCAGTGCAGTAATGTGACAGTTCGCACTTCCTTCTGCCAAAGTTTCCACCTCATTCAGTATGTTACAATGCAAATACAATTTATTGGCTGGTCACACGATGTAAGAGAAGACTTGCTATGTACAGCATTAGCTCAAGCAGGAACAGACACTGTATGAAGAGTTATATTACTATGAGAGCGGTGAGGTGCTGGAACAGGCTGCCCAGAGAGGTTGTGGATGCCTTTCCGGGAGGTGTTCAAGGTCAGGTTGGATGGGGCCCTGGGTAGCCTGGTCTAGTATTAAATGGGGAGGGTGGTGGCCCTGCATGTGGCAGAGGGGTTGGAGATTCATGATCTTTGAGGTCCCTTCCAACCCTGGCCATTCTGTGATTCTGTGATTCTGTGATTATACAGTCTCATTGAGCATTATGTAAACTTTGCACAGTTATGTGTTCTGAATCATAGAAACATAGAATCATAGAATCTTTAAGGCTGGAAAAGACCTCTAGACCAATCATCAACCCATCCCCACCATGTCCACTGAACCATTTCCCTCAGTGCAACAGCTCTGGAGACAATGACTCTACCACTTGACTGGGGATTCTGTTGTTTTACCCACCAAGCAGGCAAACCTAGCACCACCTTCTCATGTCATGTCAGTGTAATTGCTCCCAAGAACAGTTGTCAGCAGTGAATACAGACCCAGGCTGGCTATGTCTAAGAACTGATGCTCTCTGGGAGTTGTTCATATCTATAAAAACAGATGTGTTCCCAGGGGAGCTCAGAGGGCTGCTGGGCAACCCTGTAGGCCGCTTCTAAAACCTCAAGGAGAAGGGATAAGTAACTTGGTATGAGACATGCTTAAATAAGAACAAAATTTAGGGTGAAGAAAGGGGGAGGGGTGCTCTCAGCTGAGAAGAAAGGGTGAGGGGGCTAGTGCCCAGGGCACAGGCTCACGTAGCAGTGGTCTTGCCAGCATCACAGAATCACAGAATGGCCAGGGTTGGAAGTGATCTCAAGGATCATGAATCTTCAATCCCCCCGCCACAAGCAGGGCCACTAACTTCCACATTTAATACTAGACCAGGCTGCTCAGGGCCCCATCCAACCTGGCCTCGAACACTTTCAGGAATGAGGCATCTACAATCTCTCTGGGCAGCCTATTCCAGCTTCTCACCACTCTCAAAGAACTACGAAGCAAAGCGGCTGCTGGCATTTCTGGGAAACCTCTCGTGAACCTGAATTTTCTGCCAACATTTTTCCACCAAGAAAAGCCCCACAGCCCTGATGAGCTTCAGCATTTCCTAGATCCCTCTGGATCCAGGTTTTCATCAGTGTGCCTCACGTTCCAGAGCAGAACATTTTACTGCCTCAGAAACCACATTTCTCTTTCAGTTCTCTGTTAGGCTAATTAATGCCACATTACTAGATTTCTGGATTTAATTACAGCTATTTACAAGAATATTTAGGGCTAGTCTGAGGAGGCCAGATCTTGTTTTGGTTGGATTTTTGTTCTGCAAACACAGGGATGATTTGGCTGGCATGGGAACGAAATAAATTGAGCAAGGATGAAGGGGAGGTGAAGGGTTAGAAAAATGGCTGTTTTTTAGGATGCAATTTAACTGAGAACTGAAGTACTGCGCTTTAGTCCATCCCTATTCAGGCCCACATTCTGAAAAGCAATTAGGCACTTAATTAACTTCAAGCACACGGGCTGTTAAGCATGTGTCTAAGTGGTTTGTTGAAAAGGGATAGCATTAAAAGCATGCTTAAAATTAAGCACATACGCTCAGCTAATTTCCTTGCCAGCTAAGCACACTTTCTAATCATAATGGTCCAAATTCAGCAATGGCAGAATGACATAATTCAGAATTACAGCAAGGTCGAACTTGGCTTGTGGATTCCTGTCCTTTGAGATCGTGGGGAACTGAGCTTGTGAGCAAATAAGAAATGAGGCAGGTACCGTGAACTGCTGCCGCAGCACTCTGATGTGGTGTTGTGGGGGGAAGGGGGGGATTGCACAGGTATTCATGGGAGCAAGGTATGTCTTTCCCATCTCATTAACACTGTCAAGAAATATAATATTTTCCATATTTTCCTGGTTCAAGACAGAGATTAGAAGTATAAATGGGAATGTTTCTGCTCAGTAAATAAATAAATAAATAAATAGAGTTTTATAATTGCTCAAAATGAAGAATTTTTTTTTTTCTAAGAAAGACATTAAAGGCAATGAAAAATTTTCCATCAAAGCTTGTAATTTTCCTGAAAATTATACTGGGAGAAATTAATATTTTTTGAATGAAGTGGGCATTCCATTAAACAGAAAACCACTAATTTCCATTAAGTTCTATTTTTCAGTTCTCTTCATTATTAAATGAAAAGAGAAATATAAGAGCACTGGAACACACCATCCCTTTTGCCTTCTTATCCTAATTTGGGCACTGTAGCTCCCTGAAGAGTTTTGCCAAGAAAAAAAATCCCAATTCACAAATCAAAATCAGGTCAGTTGAGGCACTGGATCCTATGCATTTTCTAAAATTATGTGTATACCTCCAGGCACCAATGGAAAACGATCCCAGTTCCTGAAGATGTACTGATGCCTTATCCTTTCTGCCCCAGGCACCACAGCAAGGCTGAGAGCAAGGCTTTCCCTTGATCCACGTCTGACCTGCTGGACGTGACTGAGGGGATGGGAAGCTTTGGATTTGTTTCACCCTCTGTGGTCCCCAGACAAGGAGGAGCTGTGGCCCCTGTGTCCAGAGGGGCCCAGGGGATGCCTGGCATAAGGGTACTAGGGAAAGAGGGTAATGATGGGGAGAAATAGACCAAATGCATGGAAACCCCACCTGGCCCAGGGGCATCCAGAGGCAGCTCAGTGACTTTTGCTGTTTGGTCATCAAAAGTCTTGATGTTTTACCTCCACAAACAGGCCTGGGTTTTAGTAAATTCCCTGGTTGTAAGAACACTGATACTGCAACTCATAACTTTTGAGGATCTAGGTAACTTATTTCCCAAAATCTGCAAAAGTTTATTTCCCAAAACTTTAGTTGTAGACATTTGTAGCCTTTTATTAAGGCCTCATGTGATTTCGCTATCACACTGAACCTGTGATGTTTGTAAACCACAGTTCTCAAGACAGACCTTGACTTTAGCGAAAGGCCATTTTGCTCATACCTGCAGGGTATCACAGAATGATAGAATCTTAATGGTTGACCACTAAGGTCACTTAGTCCAACTATCAGCCCGTCCCCACCATGCCCACTGTGTCATGTCCCTCAGTGCCACATCTACACATTTCTTGAGCACCTCCAGGGATGATGACTCCACCACCTCTCTGGGCAGCCTGTGCCACTGCCTCAACAACTCTGACAATAATTTTTTCCTAATATCCAACCTGAACATTCCCTGGCACAACTGGAGGCCATTCCCTCTCATTCTATCACTGTTACCTGGGAGAAGAGGCTGACTCTCACCTCATCACAACCTCTTTTCAGACAATTGTAGAGAGTGATAAAGTCTCCCCTGAGCCTCCTCTTCTCAACCCAGTGTTTGCATCTCACCTGCCATACCACTGCCTGCAGACTCACAATCTGTGGGGGAAAGCCAAAAGCGGGGCCCTGCAACTGTTCTCTGACCCTGTTCCCTGCAAATCTCTGCTGCCACTGCACACAAACACTATCCACGGGTACACAGGGAAGGTCAAAGCTGCATGATGCACTCACAGAAAGTGAAAGTACTTGACAATGGCATTGCCATTCATTGTTAGTATGATTATTTAAGGCATAAAAACAAGTAGAACCATTAACAAGAAGAGAATGTGTATTGTCCCTGTTGGTCTCCAAAGGGTGAATGCTGTTTTTTGAGGTGTGCCACTGTGCTAGTGCTGTCCCAGTTGCTCACACTTGAAATCCCCTGGAGTCACTCAGCAATGT